ATTAAGCTCTGTTAGTTGCTGATACCATTGTTGTTTATATCATCCTGCCCCTGTGCCTTCCTGGTCCTCGTTCCACTTATCTAAGTCCTGCACTTCCTCCAAGGCCCAGCATTATCTCGTCTCCTCATTCATAAGAGTGCTAGCCCATAATATGTCCGGTCCCATGTTTTCAGTTTTCCGGTGCCCAGGATGGTGCTGCCCCAGCCACAAAGGCCTGCCTCTGTGCCTCAGACACCTCATGTGTGCTCCCACCTCTGCGCCTTTATGCTGGCCGTGCTCTACTGGGAATGCTTGTCCCCCACGTGGTCCGTGGCTGCTCCCCTCATCAGGGTGACTGTGCTGTTTATAGTAGCATCCTTCTTTACTTTATATACATTTAATCTGCTGGAGTTTTTTCCACAATATTTATCACTACCGGGCAGTTATACTTATTATTATTATTTTTAAAAAATCATCAATTGGACTCTAAGCTCCATGAGAGGGACTTCCCTGGTGGTCCAATGGTTAAGACTCTGCACTTCCACTGCAGGGGGACACGGGTTCGATCCCTGGTCAGCAAACTAAGATCCCGCAAGCCCTGCAGCATGGCCAAAAATAAAATAAAATAAAAATTAAAAAATAAAATAAGGGACATCCTGGCAGTCCAGTGGTTAAGAATCCATGTTTCCACTGCAGGGGCACAGGTTTGATCCCGCATGCCATGCAATGTGGCCCAAAAAAAAAAACAAAAAAACCCTAAGCTCCACAAGAGGATGAACTTTGATTTATTCACCAAGAAAAGTACTTGGCATGTAATAGGAGGTAATAGGATTTCAATTGTATTTCTTTAATAAAGGAATGATAACAATACCTATCTTATATGTGTATAGGGAGATTTTTACAGTTCATTCTCTTACTTGCTTCATAAGAACAGTGAAAGAATTATTACCAGCTTTACTTTACAGATGAGAAACAAGCCCAAAGACGTTGGTCCAAGGCCAGACATCTAAAATAGTCCCTGAGGTCTTCTGAACCCCAGGTGCAGTGTGGTTGCCACATGTCATGCTCTGTGTTAAGTGTTTTGTTGATGATGGTGCTGGCGATGATGCAGGCAGCAGCCAGCTGGAGCTCGGAGGTCTTCACTGGTGTTACACAGGGACGGATGGAGAGAGGGCGGAGCTTGCAGCTACTGCTAAAGTAGCTGCTGCCAAGCGATTTCACCTTCGTAATCTCAACTGATCCTCCCAGTAGACTTGCACGGTAACCAAAGCAGGGAGTATGGTTCTTCTTTGCATTGATAGTTCTTTGATATTGCTCAGGCTTTCCCTA